CTGCTTGGCTTTCAAACTCTGAGGGGTGCAAATAAATTATCAAACATGAGATAAAGATACTTTACTTCAATAAAATCCTCGAGGCTGAAGTATATTTGCAGATGGGAAACACAGTTTGACAGTTTAGGTGGAGTTAAGGTTCAGTTTTCTTTTTCATCAATTACACAGCACAACCTGTGACAGATGAACACCACCAGCACTGAAGCACATTTGCGTTGGTTCTGTTACTTGTGACTAAATCAAATTGGCAGTGAAGTTCAACATAATTTTCTCCCTCTGGCATTTATTATCTTGACTGAGGTGCAGCGTTCAGCGCGTCAATTAGAACAAACGAGGTCTTATTGGGACACAGGAAATTATTCACAGGTTTTTATGAGGCATGATAGCTCTGAAATGCAATGTAATGAAACGCATCTCAAAAAAAATCGAAATGATTCTCCGAGCACTGTAAAAGAGTCGAGATAAACGACTTGAGGATTGTAAGCGTTTCTATGTTTTTTGTCGCATAATTTGTTTGCTTTGGGATTGTTTCCTTCTTAACTGTCTGCCTTGGGGATCAGAAACATTTCTCACCACTGCAGTATCTCTGCAGCTGCTGCTACAGTATGAATTTTCATGAATGTGGCACCTTCACTTGCCAGGAAACTTAATGTGCCTCGGACGTGTGTGATGAATTTCACACTGGAGTGTAGTGATGATAAAGGTCAGTGCTGCTGACAGCCTGGGAAATGTGACAACTGGTTAATTTATATCACGAAAAAACTCTGTGACTTGATGACAAACATTCATTCTCTTAACTGTTAACAGCTTTACACACATTCATTATTAGATTTTTAATTCTAGGGTTATTAAGATCATGTTTGTTTTTAAATGAATGAACATGAAGTATGATGTATTTGTTCAGAATATAAGCGAGGTGAGTATGTATTTTATTATGTAATTACACACTTTATTCACTTATTTCACCTGTTCACACACCTCATAATGATAAATATAAAATCTTCACCTCCAGTTGTATAAAACATCCCATCGTCAATTCTTAATCAAGTATCGGGGAGCTATCTTGTGGAATGAATATGTGTGTGTTTCTGTGTGTTTCTGCTGTTGTTTTTGTGTCTAGCTGTATGCGCACTGATGCTCTTTTACACAAATTAAGTTCCAAAGAGATAAATAAAGTTATTTGAATTGAATTGATATGCTCATTTAAATAATCCCTCTAAGACGTTGATTGTGTACAAAAATATCATTTGGGACCTTAACCATCTCTTTAAGAAATCGTCAATAATTTATTGTTTGTAAATGTTTTTGTTTCCTCATATTTTCCTCTACGTCTTGCTCTTGGCTTGTTCATGCTAAATTCCTGAACTTTATGACGTCTGATATCTACTTAGTTTTGGACGTTTTTTTTATGACCTTTTATACTGTGTGTTTTTTATACAAGCCATGGACAGGCTTCTATACAGCGCCCACACATGTGTTTGATGGTTTCCTTGTATGCCTTGTATGTGTTCCTGTGTGTTAAATAAATAAACAAATACTTAAATATAGACATTTAAAAAACATTGTGACATACGCTCAATTATTTTGGGCTCCCTATCATTTCCTTTAATAAGCACATTCACAGTCAAGGATAAATACTGCAAACATACAACATTTACATGCTCAGACATTTCTAACCTACATTCAAGCTAACCTAACCAGGAAGAGGTGTTTCTTATGACACACTTACATCACACTATATGTGTTCATATACAAAGCATCTGAGAGCTGTAAGTTTTTCCTTAAATTCCACCTGATACGTCCACAAAATATTCAAGAAAAATCCATCTATACCAAGTTTATACAACAGAAAACGGCCAAATAATTGAAAATCCATCTCTCTGAGCTCCCAGCCTCAGAATAATCTTATTTACATGAGATAACAGAGGGGAAGTGATATCAGAGATGAAACAGACCCGCCTCTGTGATCTGGTTATACTGCAGAGCTTGTCTTATTGTAAAAGTAGGTACAGGGGGCACTCAGGGGTGGGGGTGTTTTAGTAAATATGGGCTTTAAAAATGGACCTGACTTAATCATGTGTGATTTAGACACATAAGACATTTGCAGCTCTATGTTTACATGCAAACAAGAAACCAGGTTAGTGAGAGTAATTACATTAAATCAGGAAATTGTATCCCACAGAGGAGTAAAGCTGGAGAGGATAAAGCGTAAATTGCACACTCACAACACACACACACACACACACACACACACAGGCGCGTGTTACACTCTACTCTTTAGAGAGCCAATTATCTGAGGGTCTGTTGCTGCTGAGCCAATCAGTGTTCAGCATGCTTCCCCTGCCTTTTTCTGGCTCCATGAAAGCAAAATAAAAGTCATCTGTTGAGAACGAGGGCTGTAGATGTGAAGACATTTGTCGAAATCTACTCCCCCCTTGTGGTCATTCTTGATTTTGCAGCAGCAAAATGGAATGCACTTTACTTATCTGATGCTGACAAAGTTGACAATTGCAAGAAACTACTATTCTTACTTTGATTTCCACCCCTACAGCAACTTCATTTATTTTATTCAGCAGTGAACGATTTTTTTTTTGGTTCTGTACTAAAATAGAAGTTATACAACTTTATAAAAAAACTGCAAAATAAACTTGATTTGAAAATGCAAAAACAGAGAATTGTCAAAGCATCATTAAATTAACAGATCTGATATGGACTCAAGTCACAGACAATCATTTATTTTCTTGTATGCATTTTAAAAGAAGATCTACATTACATTGCAAAATAAGACACATACTGAAAGCCAGTCAACGGATGAGTTAGGGCCTACTTGTAGGCTGGATTGTTGTGCTTATTTTCTAAAGACTCTTCAGCTGGTTCCGCATGTGTTTGACTTACAAAAGAGATCACATTTAATTTGTGAAAGATTGTCTTCCCCTGGCTCCCTAAGGAATCTAATTTAACATCCTTCTTCTTACCTACAAAGCTCTTAATGATCATTCATAATCATGTCTGAGTCCCTAACCCTGGCACACCCTGTCCCTCCTCTGCTCTCTCTCTATTGATTTGTATACATTCATGTCACCTTATAGCTTACAACTAACCATATGTACACAGGAGTTATTCAGCTCCTTTGTGTTGAAGGTTCTTGTGGACCGGTGTCCCTGGGTGCACATGTATGCTTGATTCTCCTCCGATGAATCTTGTTCAATTGGAGGTTTTTTGCTTGTTAAAAGGAAGCGTTTCCTGGCCCAATGTTTCAAAGTGCTCACTCAAAAATGATTTAAAAAGTCTAGACATCAGGTTCAGGTTCCGGTTACTTTATTTGTACCCGTAGGTCGATTTGGTCGCAGGTAGAGACACTTAATACAACACAGACAACAAAACATAAAACACACAAAGTGCAAATGCACTGTACCAGGGTAAAAGTGCTGAGGTGCATAAAGTGCACAGGTTCCAATCACAACACCAGAATAAATAATACATGAATAAAGAACCTCTAAGAAGCATGACAACAACTTCTCAGGCTGCTATCTCCGTCCCTCCATGTAAGGCCTTCATGAAATTACAATGACCACATCAAGCAGCAAAGAGCACACACACTATGACTTATTCCGCTCTATAATGGCTGCTGGGACGAAGCTGTTCCTATAGCGCTTCGTTCTGCACTTTGAACTGAAAGTCTTCGTCCAGAATGAAGGAGCTGAAACTCTTACAGTGCAGAGGACGTGACTCATCTTTTAAGACTAAGGCGGTGAGCCGCTCCACCTGCCTGGTGTACAAAGGTCTCCAGACTCCAGCTGTTGCTCTCCGATTAGCTGCTTTCTGGACCACCTCACGATTTGGTTCAGAGAGTTTCTGTTCTTCACAGAGAGGTTTCCAAACCATGACACAACAGAAAAAAGATACAATCGACTCGACAAACGCACGGTAAAAAAAAAGGGTCATCATGGTTTTGTCAACGTGAAAACAATTTCCTCAGACAGGATAAACACTGGTGCCCCCTTTTTTACACACAGCTTCACAATTCAATTCAAACTTAAGTTTAGAGTTGATAATTGTCCCAAGATATCTGTATGATTGTACACATTCGAATGGTTGACCATTAATGAGTGTGACTTCTTGTGTGTGGGACTTTTTTCTAAAATCGATGGTCATATCTTTAGCTTGACGTATGTAACAATGACAGTGTGTGTCGGCATACTTTATGATGGTCCTTTTTTTCCACATGTACTTTTGCACATATTTGTGTGAAGGATGAACAAGAGTGGTGAAAGCACGCATCCTTGTGGAGTGCCAGACTTGTTCGGATAGGGTTCCATTTAGCCTCACTCTCTGAGTATCCAGCCAATCACGTTACAGACTGTTACCGAAATCAAACTGATCTAGAAGCCTGTTTATGAACACATGTGGTTGTATGGTATTAAAAGCAGCGCACAAATCAACAAATAAAAGTCTAGCATGGGACCCCCTCCTGTTCCAAATGTCTCATCAGCAAATTCAGCAATGTGACTGTGGCGTCCTCTACACCTCCGTGTGGCCTGTATGCACACTGCAGGGTATCAAGTGCATGCTCAGATCTCTTCAGTATCTCTACCTTGACCAGTTTTTCAAAGACTTTCATCACAATTGATGTAAGGGCGACTGGCCTAAAACCATTAAGGATTTTAGGGGAACTAGTTTTGGGAACAGGGACCACCACAGCATCTTTCCAGACCTGGGGTATGTACTGTTCCTTTAATGATCTGTTAAAGATGTATTTATTGTAACTGAGAGGAAGGCCTGTTCTACAGCATTTTGGGATATGTCAAAGTGCTGATTGTCCTTGAGTTTAAAATTCAGTTCTTGAATGTCTGATTTAAAATCAAAGATATAAAACAATTGTAAAAATGATTCAAGGCATTTTCAAACTCAGTATCTGCATTAAAGCAATTCAATGTGATGATTTCAACACTGTTTGAATATTCTGAGGCCTGCAAACGGTCTTCATGCTCGACCAGACTGAGACGAGATTGTTTGTTGCCATCTTGTTTTCTAATTCAGATTTCTAATTTTTGTTTTGCTCTTAAAATTCAAATTTTCCGCTCCTTAGTCGCTGCATGCAGGTCTGAGGCTGCACCCTGTTCAACATGCTCTTCATGTAGAGTGTAATACAATAACTTTGGTTGTGATTTGGCTTTACAATAGTAAAACACTGATTGATTAATATCAGGATCTGGAGCGAATAAAAAAATGACACAATAAAATGATAATCTATTCTTCAAGTAAAGGTTGAAAATACCCAAATCGAGAATATCTGTAACATTTAATAGTCCTGCACGTTTAAAGTGAAATGTTCTACAAATACAGAAAATATTGTGAGTTTTATGTTAATAGTTTATTATCAGTACATTCAAAAGTGCACTGTGGTTAACTAAAGTGGAGACATTTTCAAAGTTGTTTTATCTGAAAGAACTGTATTGTTATCTAATCATTAGGCCACACGTGTTAAATCTTAAGTTAGCAAACTGTCTGATTAAACACAAACTGCCAAATCATGATTTCCTATATTCATCATTTCTAACTCAGGTTAAGGTGATTTGATATTTTTTTCAGCAATAGGCTATTCTTCTAAATTCTAGTGAAGTACAAAACAGTCGACACAAACCTTAAATAGCACATTAAAAATGGCATATCTACACTTGTTGCCTATATGTTGCACTTTATTAAACTTGCTGAAATCCCTCATTGAATCATGTGACGCTTTAGTGTGTTTTTATTTGTTCTTATGTGCTCTCCTGTAAATGTTTGTTTGTATTGTGCTTTTTATGCTCTCTGTGCAAGGCAAATTCCCCCTAGGGGCAATAAAGCTTTCATTCATTAATTCATGTAGCCATACAGTATGCATCGTTTTATCAACATGGTGTTGGTGGTATGTAACGCTAACGTGCCCCCAGAACATTCAGTTCTGAGCGTGTTACTCCACGTTGTCTTTTCAATCAGCTGATCGCAGGAGCAGGATCCACGTGAGGGCAGAATAATGACATGATTGCTGTCGTTGTTGTGGTTGTTGTGAGTGATTTGTTTCCCCGCCCACTGAGCTCCTTCTTATAACAAGTGCTGTGAGCCTGCTGCTGCTGACACATTGCAGAGCTGAGCGGCTCCACACTGCTGCGCCACTGAAGATGGAGTCCAACATTGTCGTGATGGGAACCGAGAGTGTCGGGAAATCAGGTAAAACAAAAGAAAAAAGGAAAAGTCAAACGTATATATATATATATATATTGAAGAAAAACTGTGAAAAATACAAGTTTCCTCTGCTCATTGTGGGTTAAATGTTGTTTTTCAGCTCTTACTGTGCGCCTCTTAACTCGGAGATTCATTGGAGAGTACGGAGATATTGGTAAGTCTTATGCCTACTTAAATCGACAAAATGCAGAATATTCTTCTTTTCTAACGTTTCAAGTAAGCTGAGCACACTTTGTGTCTTGCAGAGTCCATCTACGGCCATAGTTTCGTGCTGGACGGTAGAGAAATAACTCTCAATGTTTGGGACTCTCATTATTCTGAGGTATGAATGAATAACTTTTAAACGACTGTTTATTCTGCTGACAGGTTGATTGCACTAAGAATGGTTAAATTGAGTAAAAATAGAAATTCTCTTAAAGACATTCTTCATTATTAAGGTTTTCCCAGACATAATGAAGTTAAAGGTAGAATCATGTTAACAACAAGGTTTAATCATTTTCATGTACCTATTCATTAATATGCAGTTTTAAAATGTTACATGTGGTTATATCAAGGCGGGAAAAGTTTAAAGTCAAGGATAGTTTAATTAACAATTCACTTAAGCAACATGTTCGTTAAAGAACTGTAAATAACAGAACATTATAAAGAGAATTCCCCAAATCAGTTTTTAAATAGCATGCTGTTAATATCACGATTACCTAAGCTTTCACACTTTCTTTGACTTCTAAAAAAACTGTAAATGTGTTGATGAAGTTAAAGTTAAGAAAAGAGAAAAACTCATTAAACTTGAGAAAATGTGTTTTGTTATTTTATTGTATTTGACTTTAAATTGTGTGATTTGACAGGACTTGTCCGTGGAGACGTCGCTCCTTGAGAAGAAGGTCCAGTGGGCAGACGGTTTTGTTCTCGTCTACAGCATCTGCGACAGAGCCAGTTTCAACACCGTGAGCCGACTCATTCAGACCATCAAGTCCACCAGAGACTGCCTGAACACGGACAAAGTGCCCATAGTGATCGTGGGTAATAAAAGGGACCTCCACCACAGGCGGACGGTGGCGAGCGAGGAGGGCCGTCTGCTCGCTCTCAAAAGCGACTGCCTCTTCTACGAGGTGTCGGCGGCCGAGAACTACCACAGCGTGCTCGTGGTGTTTCATGGGCTGGTGGACAGGATGAAGGATGCCAAACTGACCATGAAGAGGCCTTCGGGGTTCAAGGGAATAGTGAAAAGCATGTCGGCGGTGTTCGCCAGGAGGCGGATCGACTCTGTTTAGTTAAACACAGACACTGAAGAGGAGGTTTGCTGTGAATTTGCATAAGAGAGGTTACAACCTCGTGTGCAGAAAGCTGGATAGATATCGCAGTCTGTCAGATGAGTCACACGCTGTAGAGCCACAGGAGTCTCATTGTCTCACACAGACTCCAGAAAAAGCATGAAAGACTCCGGAGAAGAAGAAAAAAGCCATGAAGCTTCAGAGATCATGAAGTCAAAACAACGTCTCAGAGATCACAGAGGTTCTCCGGGTGACAGGTTTTGGAAGTTTGCTGCACTTCCAAGAAAAAACGAGAATAAAAGAAACCGCACAGTGTCATTATTTATAAAGATACTCGACATGTTATTCACTATAGTGTGCAACAAGGTTTGCTCTATGTTGTAGCTTAAGACACCAGCTGTGGCTTCATATTGGAGGAAAAACCTATGCACAAAGTAAACGTGCCTTTACTTAACTATTACGACCAAAGAACATGTTCATTATTAAAGCTCTTCGATTAAGTGCAACCTTTTTTTTATTATTGCTGGAATAAGTGAACCACTCTGCCTTGTACTTAAATTCAAAGCGGCACTTGAATTTATTTCAGTCTAAACACTGTAAAGCAACACACAAAAAGGGTGTTTCTATATATTGATGAGTTGATTGTGGTTCATTAACTATGTTTGTCTTTACCTTTTGTTTTGTCTCATAATGATGTAAATAAAGCATCAAATGTGCACAAGTGCTTGATTTCTTATTCATGTTGATTCTGAAATTGTTGAAAATGTTTATTTTACCACTTAAAAGGATCCCATTAAGGGCAATATCGTACTCAGTGAGATGCTATGATCAAGAACTTGAAGAGACTCGGTGCATTGCTAATGAATTCATCCATCCATTATCAATGTCATTCAGGGCTGCAGGGGGTTGGAGCCGAAACCAGTTGTTATTGGGCGAGAGTAGAAACAGAGGGCGGACATACATAGACAACATACTAGTCGCACTCTCATCCACACCTACTTACAATTTAGAGTCACTGATTAACTTAATGAGCATGTCTTTGCACTGTGGGAGGAAGCCGGAGGGAACCCATGCATGCACAGGGAGAACATGCAAACTCCATAAAGAGAAAGGCCCTGACCGCTGCATCTCTGTGGAGCCTCAGTGCATACAATGCAAGCTAATTGAGCTGACCAAGTTCTCATGAAGGATGGTCTTTTCATTGATTATATCATCATACATAGCCGAAACTTTATGCCATTACTCTACTGCGCAACAGTTTCTTATCCAACACCTGAAGATAGTGTATTAAATAGTATAATGTTAAAATCACATATTGTACATGCATCCCATTTCAGTTATTATAATATGAGCAATTGGTTAATGCCATGAAAACAGGTTACCAGTTTAACATTTGGATAAGCTGGCAGTCAAAAGAAATGCCTTATTTTATTTGATACAGTTTTTGCATTTTGTGGAAAATTAATCCAAAATCAGAGACACTATAGAAAACAATAAACTGCATGTTTTTATCACAATTAAGATTATCCTCCGACATAAATTACCAATCCCTTCAGTCCTTTGTTTGCACTGTTATCTCAGTAATACACCTCGTAAAAATGAACGTGATGTGAAACATTTGTTTCACAAGTTAGCAAAAAGTGACAATGCCTGTTTTAGAAGCTTAAAAATGTCCACTGAAAACATAAAGTAAAGTAATTGCAATCGTCCACACTTTATATTTGTTTTAAACATGCACATTATTGAATTCTTGAAACCCTGTCACAGCTCTTCCACAGACCTGAAACCATGCAAAGACTTCAGAACCATCTTTTATTTCAGTGAGGGTCTTTGAATTCCTCTCTCATTTGTGGCTGGCCTGCTCTCGTAAACTTGATCTGACCTCCAGCGTTCGGCCTCAGACACGTTCCTCTTGTTGCTCCCTCAGCCTCCTGACATTAGGTGTAAGAAAGACGTCTGTCTATGTGGCTAATAGGGAAGCAGCATGGGAGGGGGCTAATGGTAAGAAAGCTGGTGCCAGTTCCCCCTTTTTTTCTTTTCTCTTGTATGAGGACTCAGACAGGAACAAGGCACAGGTTAACAAAGAGACTGGTGCAGTCTGGCCTTGCAGGCTCTCGTCACAGTCTCTGATCCGTGTGGGTCATTACACAACAGGACCCAGAACAGACCTGACAAAAGACGTTTCACCTGGATAAGCTGCCTCCAGCTTTTGTCTTGTCTCTCCATGCGCTGCGTCAATGACACGACACTTTTAGAAAGTAAGCCGCATGTCTGCAGAAAATTATAAACCTGCACATACATGTTGTTCAAACCACAAAGTTTAGATGAAAATGATTTTGCTGCATCAAAGCAGATGGGATCGGGTCCCTGTTTTCCTGTCGTTGAATGAGAAATATAATTTGTGAGCATGCTAATGTAATTACAAACAATCATTTGCATATTAGTTAGCATCTAAATGAATAGCACGTGAAATTAAACACATCTTTCAGACACTTGGAAGCAATTGCTTGTCATACTGGGTATAAGATGCACACGTGAGTAACACATTTAAGCAAATTTAGAGAGCAGGCACTTTGACATTTCAGGTTATCAAAGAGCACAATTAACAACGTTTATATGTACAATATGAAGCACATGCTGGGTCTGATGAAAATGTATTGTCGACACAATATTCTTGACATGTGCTTCTCATCCCACATGATGATTGTATTATCCACTCTGTGGTGCAACATGCAGCATGTGACCCTTGATGTTTCAAATCTTTTAATGTTAGTTTACTGAGGACCCGCTTGTGATGTGGAAAAATTACAATACTGTTTACACTGCCACTGCATGACACAGCAGACGTTAAACACAGTTGTGTACGGGACGGACCGGCCCGGAGAAGCTGCATCAGTGCACCAGCTCGCTCTCGCCCCCTCTACCCAACACAAATACATTGGGCAGGTGTGAATAGTGGAAGCTTTCTAACAAGAAACACTGTTCCAAACTTTAGCACACATATCACCTTTATGGCTTTTTCTCCCCACAGATAAACTGTATTTTCTATTCAAAAGGTCCAGTCAAATCAATATCAGCCAAACTTATCAGATGGTTTAAGTGTGTTTGTGCCCTGGACAGCTGTGTTGTCTTTTAATCTGAGTTTGAGAGTATACAGCTATCTGTTTAAAACTTTGATCAGTGATTGTTTAGAGATAGCGCGTACACAAGCTAAAGCTAGCGTACTCCCTAGGGGAGCATGCCTATGTTCCCACATTTCCTTTTTCATGAATTTGTATCAGATTTTATCCCCCTTTCTCCCAATTTGGTAGCCGATTACACCCAACCTATCTTCCAATAGCAATGGACTACAGATGGAATGTAGCTTTTAGCTAAATCTGGTGCGCCCATCTCTTTGTTTATTGCAAACATTTAATGTAAGTGCACATTGTCCTTTTAAATAGACAAACTTAACTAAGTAGCACAGGGGCCTCGCATTGACTAGGTCAGATCAGTTGAATGAAGCGCAGCAACTGGACGCAATCCATAGTTTGCAGCGCATCAATACCTCTGGAAAGCCGGGTTGGCATGTGGGAACATAGGGCTGACCCCTTCCTAGTGTACAACTAAACCATAATGTAAGCTAACGCTGGCATTTATCTGCTAATGTCATGTCCAGCTCTGCGTCTTAGTTATGTTTTAATGTCTACTTGTATTAATTCCAGTTTTGGGTCACTAACCTCCTCTCATTTCAGATCCTTCACTTCCTGCCCTCATGTGTTTCCCACCTGTGTGATTGTCTGCCCCGCCCTGATTGTTCCCAGCTGCATCTCGTTGTCTTCCCCCTCACCTTAGTATTTAGGGTGCGTTCGAGTTGTCCCTCCTATCTCCTTTCACTATCCACTTTACCTTAACCCCGCGAAAACGTCATGAGGTCAAGGAAAGATGTTAGGGAATTCATAAAGGACTCAGGAAAAGGCGATCTCGTTCCTCTGACAATCCGACTGCATTTTCCACTAGGAGACGTCATTAAATGCGACGGGCCGGCGGAGGTTAATGACGTGGGGTCTGCCGTGTTGAAACTACAATGTTCAGAAAATGGACTACAAAAAACGCATCTAAAAAACTTTCCCCTGTGCCTTCTTACCGGTGAAATAGTCCTAATTACAATCCCAACCTAATTAACGTTGGGATTGAAATAAAATAAATATAGACTACCAGGCTACGAGTAAGAAAAGTGAAACAATCAGCTTCCTGTCCACTCAGAAATCAACATCAAACTAAGTATGATTGTATGAAATTAATTGTTACATTTCTGCAAGATATAACCTACACATAATGTTTTGAGCATACAAATGTACGACTGCACAGCATTCTTAAGTGAATGAAATATGTTGAATAAAACATCATCTGTGTCACTTTACGATCATCGTTAATGTTCTTGAACGGTCGGATGCGCGACTCTCTTTAAATGTTGCGGCCGCAAGGAATTGTGGGGCGTCATAGCTCATCTCCTTTGGTAAAGGATGGTCCAGTGTATCCTATGCTAAAGGACGCGTACAAGCCTTTTGGTCCTCTCGGATCACTTTTTTGGATTCTGTCTGCTTGTAAGAAGTAAAGAGTGTTTTTTTTCCCCCTAACCAAAGACTGTGTTTTGAGTTCAGTTACCTGTGGTTTTGTTACAGCTAACATAAGGACAGCAATTGTGTTTGCTGGTTAACATTAGCCAAACAAATCTACTATTGCAGCTCCAAAGTGACGAGCGCTGTTGAGTTTTGTCCTGCAGATGAAAGGTGTTCAGTTTCACTCTAGCATTACAGGGGGCTTAACAAGACATGTGATTTCATTTTTGTTGAGGGACTAGTCCAGCCATAGCTATAGACTGTATCTCATTATCACTGGAAATAAAAAAATAAACATTATGACACGACTTTATGACCCTGACAGCGAGAAAGTCAAACACGACTAGGGATGAAGCCGCTAACTGTTTACAGCACGGGTGGTTTAACATGTCACGGTTAATTAATCATAAGGGCTAAGGTTTTTTATTTTTCTCAAGTTCAAGGTGTAGGAACCAGATGAGTTCAGGTTAAGAGATCTAATTCTAGTATTGTTAAACAGTAGGATTGGCTGTACTTTTATATGCACATTGTGATTGGCTGTTTGGATCTATGGGCTTTTGGATTATTGCTGAAAATAAGCTCTGTGGCAGAAAAAAGTTTATTAAACTTCCACTTTTTGTTCAATGAACACTACTTTTTAAATTTTCAATTAAAATAAACAAACACTTTTGTTAGGCCATGAAGGAACAACACCACAATCAACTGACTTCAATTTACTGACTTAGACGTCCCCACCATTAAGCACGACTCTTTAATCCTAAATTAGCCACTTGAAAGCAACTGCCTTTTTTCAGTTGTGAATAAGCTTTCAAAAATCAAATTAAAGTGACACTTCCAGATGTATTTTATGTCGTAGAAAAAATAGAAAAATAGTTCATTTCAACAGAGCTGCTTCGCAAAGACTACATCTGTAAACTCTCTGGTTAACAGCCAATCACAACATCATCATACAAATGTACAGCCAAACATGTGTTCTGTCACTAGATCTGACCAGCCGAGCACATCTTATACCTACTTAGTTTTTGGTGCAACCTACACAAAACATCTAAAACAAAGAGACACCTGAGGGCACCAGC